TAGCTTAAGACCACCATGGAGACACACTGGCCCCAAAAGATCCCAGCCTGCTGTCCCCATTTCCGCGTGACAACTCAGGAAGGTCTGGGCGTAGGCAACAAGGCTCCACTGCTCAGCAGCCTCACCCAGGTAACAGAGAGCCCTCCCAGCGTGATGCTGCGGAGCCTGGGAGAAGAGGTTTTGAATGGCCCTGAATTCAGTGTGAGGACATCACCCAGAGGCTCAGGCCTCTCCACTTCCTCCCCAGCTCGGGAAGGGGAGGCTCAGGTGGGAGAAGGGGGTGGGGTGGGGGTGAGGAGCCCAGAAGGATCGTCTGAGATTCTACAAATACCTGCTTTTAGAAGAGAGGCCAGGCTCCCCCAGCAGCCCCGGTAGGGCCTTACTTGGGGTGGGGGGAGGGGTTTGCAGCGGACTGAATGCCAGGTAAATTTAGGCTCCCAAGGCTGGGGCATCGAGACAGGCACAGGTGAGTGTGGGGGGTGGGAGGTGGTGACCAACACAGTGCAGTGCTGTTGCTAAGTGCCAGGGTCTGCCACTGTGAGTTTGTCACCTGGAAGGGTCCCTGGCCTCCCCGAGCAGTTTTGGGGTCTGTGATCACCACGGGCTGGACTGAGGCCGAGCACAGGCAAGCCCCCAGCACGTCAGGCAGCCCAGTGGGGAAGCCGGCTCCTGCGACCGTGGGCTTGTGGTTTGTGGGGTGTGGAGGAGGTGGCCGTGGTCATGGGTGACACGTAAGACCAGCAGGAATCGTGTCCTGAGCAGGACGCCAGGAGGTGCCCCTGGACAGGCTCCCAGAACCCGTGTGCCTGCAGTTGGTTCGGGTCCCTCCCAGGCCCTTCCCTCTGCCCAGCGGTCTGATGGGGGAGGGGCAGGGCCTGGGGTGTGAAGGTGGACAGCCGACCCGGGAGTGACAGCAGATGCCCACTCACTGGCTGGCGGTGCCCCCGGCCAGGCCTCCCGGGCTTTCAGAGCGAGTGGGGATGACACCCCCGGGGGCTGCGAGGGCCCCGGGGGTGGGCATGTGGTGGAGGCAGCTGGGTCAGGGCAGGGGCCCCTGGCGTGGACAGCCTGCCCTGGCCTCCTCCACCGCCCCCAGGACACCGGGTCGCGTGGGAACAGACAAGCACCTGGGAGGGGAGGGCGAGGTGCACTCAGGCCGGTGGTGGCAGCTCTACCTGCCTGTCCCCAGTTGGCCTGGCCTGGCCCTGGGAGGGCCCCAGTCGTGACCTTGTTCCAGTCAGGAAGAGAGCGACTGGCTCAGGGTCACAGCACTGGCCACAGGCACTTGGCACCTTCTCAGATGTGTAAGAAGAAAGGGGGAGGAACGGCCCTCGCTCTTAGCAGGCCGGCTGCCTCGCTTCAAGAGGCTCAGCATCCAGCGTGCCCTCATCTACCCATCCTCAGTCTGGAAGCCGAGGGCCAACGTCCTCATCTGTGACTGCAGGCTGGGGTACTGGGAAGCCAGGGCCTGTTGGGGTGGCAGGCCAGAGGGTAGGGTCTATTTTGTTCCCCCCTCAAACAGGCCTCCCCAGCTCTGGGGCCCTGAGTGGTCCCCTGGACGGTGACATGAAGTGGCTGGCCCAGCGTCTGAGCTGCAGTAGGCTGCGTGCCTGCCCCCCCGCACCGCCCTGGAAGACCAGTGGCAGCCAGGCCCCAGGAGCCCCTTTGCCCCAGGGCCAGGGCCGTCCTGCCACCTCGGCTCGGCTCCGGTGGGTGTACTTGGTTCTGCTGCTGCGCTGGCCCCACCGGGAGGGATGCTGTGATGTCACATTAGGGTGAGAGGGTAGGGGTGAGCCGGCCATGTGACCATGGTCAGCACCCAGCTGTGCAGGCCTCTGCAGGGCCTGACACAGAGGCAAGGGCTTTGCTGCCCCTGGGTGGAGGGGTGGGAGGGGAGAGGAGGAAGCCAGAGGCAGCCTGCAGGAGGGCAGGGCTGAGTCTCACCAACCCGCTCCCTAGCGCCTGGGCGGCTGCAGTTTCACCTCCACAAGCAACCCGCTGTGATCTCCACTTACATGTGAGGACACTGAGGCGTGGACACTCACCAGGCCTCCTCACTCAGTCTGGACCCCTTACAATTGCATACTTCATGGGGATTAGAAAAAGATCGCTTGGCATAAGCAGCTGCCCACCACTCCTTCTTACAGTGGGACTTTGGCAAGATGGAAATTTGGGAGTGTCAAATGGGCTTTGTGGTCACAGTGTCCAGTTTGAATCCTGGCTTCCCCATTCACTAAGTGTGAGACCTCAGCAAGTAATTAACTTCTCACTGTGCCTCAGTTTTCTCGTCTGTAAAATGGGGCAATTGTATCTACTCCCTAACACTGAATATTGCTGAGAAGATAAGAATGCCAGGCACAGAGTGAGCCCCCGGTGTTCGCTGTCACTATTCCCGGCACAACGTCGACACCACCCACGTCCGCTGCAGCTGTCATCACCAGGTTGCTGGTTTGGTAAAGTTAGGAAACTGGCTCCGAAACGCTATTCACTACCTGTCAGTGACGCAAGGCCAGCAGCAGGTCTCCGAAGCAGAAGCTCCCGTCCTGTCTTCACGCCTGCAGCAGCCCAGCCTGAGAGGCCACTTGCCCAGCTGCTTTCGAGAGAAGCTGGGGCTGGGCCTCTTTCTGTTCCTGGACTGCGTGCAGGCGCAGCGGCAGCCTGAGCACTTTTGATATTTCACTTACGCACAGGCCTTTACACCCCTCCGTCCTTGGGGAAGCATGTAGCTGTGCCATCACAGCTCCAGGTGACCAGCCACCGTGCACAGAGCAACCCCACTGAACAGTATCTCAGCCCCCAACCCTGCTCTTGCGGGTGGGCGTGCTTGTAAAGTAATTAACACTCTCAGGCATTTAAAGAGCCACAGCGGAGAGTGGGACAAAGGGTTGTCATGGCCACAAGGCACCCGCCCGTGCGCGAGGTAGTGGACAGGCAGTCCAGGGCACAGCGGTGCAGGTGCCCGAGCACACACCTGCGGAGACCTCCTGTCGCACCCAGACACGGGGCCACCCTGCTGCACCAACAGCCCCCAGTCCTGCCTCAGGTGCCTCCGGGGAGGCAGCCGGCCACCTGTGCCACCTTGCCCCCGAGCTGGGCACTGCCACCAAACCACGGAAGATGTAGCTCCTGCCATTTCAGCCAGTGGTGACAGTAGACGCATCCTGGAACGGCTTGCCCACTGGCTGGTCACAGGCTAGCACTGGGAGGCTCAGCAGGTGCAAGGCACCTCTTCGAACTTTCTGCCCTGGGGTTCCACCCTGACAGCCCCATGCGGATGTCACCTCAACTACGGTTGGGTAAGGGCTTCATAGGAAACGCTGTTGAGGGGGCTGGCCAGCGGCTGGGGAAAGTGAGGCTGACTCCTTCAGCTCAGTCCTTGTCCACGGAACGTCTGGGGCAGAGATGCACTCTACGTAACAGGGGAGACCGTTTCTCTACTCTAAGGATGGAGTGAGCACTTAGAAACATGCTTACACATCCCAGAAACCATAAAGTAAGTGGGTAGAAGACAGTTCAAATCCTCCTGTAGAAAACTCCCCTCCCCTCAACCCTGACGAAAGGCACATTAAGTGCTCGCTTATGGGTGGTGAGAAAAAGGACGTTCAACCTCAAACTCAGGTCAAACCGGCCTCGTGTCTGCATGATGCTGGGGACACTGTGACGCGCAGCAGGCGGCGTCCCACAGGCTGGAGCCACCCTTCTGGATCGTATGAGACCCAGGTGTAAGGATGTCCGCAGAAACGCCACTCGGGATACTGAACAAGCATGAAACGAATAGTCTAAATGTGATCCACGAGGAACCTGTTAAATCTGTGTAATGGAATATGCTAAAAAATTATGTAGATCGTTACTAACGTAAAAGATGTCCGAGTAAAAGCCTATTTCTGAAGCTACACAAGAGCGAGTACGCTGTAACCCTTTAAGTCCATTTCTCTCTCCATTCACGTATACACTCAGCTGTCCAGAAGGGTGTCCTGTACAAACGTCAGAAGCCGCCACCTTAGGGTGAGGGAGGGACTGGTGGAGTTCCCTTTACACTCTTTAATACCACGCTGATTTCTTTCTTACAATGTACCTTGATCATGTTAACATAAATACACAGATTATTTTTTTCCCCAGAACAAGAAAACTAAGCTTTGTCTATCACCCAGGGACAAAAATGTTGTGTTCCTTGCAAGATTCAGGTGGTGGTTCGTGGGGCGGGGAGAGGTGGACTCGTGTCTCAGCAGGCCCCTCCGCTGTCCCCTCCAGCACGGCGCATGCCAGCGCTCCCGGCACCACCCGTAAGAGGCACTAAATAGCCCCCACCCGGAGCGGTGTGACGCAGGCATGTTCTCTCCTCTGCAGACACGTAATTGAAAGGAGGCTGGGGTTCTTTACAAAAGAACCTTTGCTGTGATAAATGAAGACAACCACTTGCTTTTTAAATTTTTATTTGGTGTTAACTCCACAAGAAAACAAAAAAAATCAGTTACTCTGGTGTACGTGAAATCAGAACAATACAACCACGGGGAAAAAAATCTCAGCCCAGGAATGGAAAACTGATGCTTCAGTGCTACGGATATGCAATGCGCTTCATACCACAGTGCGTTTCAGCGTTTTGCCAACTTTTTCAAAAATGCTTTTCTTTGTAATTATCCATTCACAAAACTAAAAACCACACGTTCACCTCTGTCGCTGAAAGCCTCTGGGCTTCAGCCACTCAGCTACGAAAACAAATAAATACATAATCTGTTACCCACCTTGCCCATTTATACTCCATTCCCATTCCCCCGTGGAAGGTGCAAGGTCTTCCCACCAGCGGGGAAGGAAGTCAGCACCCTGACCACCTGGAGCCCTTTCCTGATAAAAAGCAGCTGTCCAAAACCAACCGAGCTCAAGGTTGTGTCTGAAATATATGTATTTGGTCTCTGCTACGTAAGTAACGATTTCTAAGATGATCGTCACTGTAGTGATTTTAGGAATTTACAACTTCCAACTCTTTTTTGCCTTTGCTGTTAAATTATATTTCAGTGCAGATGCTAATCAACTTTTAGGAAGCTCTGGAGAAAGAAAAATACATAAAACCTTATAAAGTCTGTAAATAAATAACAGCAACATAAAACCTTACACGCACACACACACAAACCCACTTTAAAGTGTCAAAGACGTGCTGTAAAAAAAAACCACCCGACCTGCGGCGAGCCCGAGCCCAACGGCCCCACGGGCCCCACAGCGAGGCCCTCACAGCCCTGGAGGGAGCTCTCTGTGTCGACAGGTACGAGAAAAGCAACAAAACCCAATGCTCGAAGCAAATCGCGCTTCTCAGCCAGTTCCGCTCCCGGCTACTACATTCTGTGCTTACTGCCTGCCAACGTTGGCGGTGAAGCCGGCTCGTCCGTGGCAGACTTCTCTGCCGCTCCTGATGCCGCAGACACTCTAAACTGATTCCACACATTTTTTTTTAAACAATGAGTTGGTTAAAAAAAAGAAAACAACTTTGAATGTTTAGATTTTGCAGCTATTGCTCCTTCTAACTTCAACCTGTTGCACAGAGGCATAAAAGCTCAAGGAGGTGATCGTCACAATGGACAGGACTGGACGAGACGGACCAACCCCCGGGGTTCCCCAGTGCAGCGGGGAGGCGGGTCCCACGAAGCAGTCACACAGGTATGGGAGAAATCAGTACTCTGCCCCCTGACCCGCCACACACTGAACTTGCTCGAACATTCTCTCAAACACAAAATGAGATCTAAGCTACACTAAGTCACAGCCACAAGAGCAGCTAGCTGCCGCAGCCAAGGTTTCTTTGGGGTGATGAGGTGGCCTTTATTGCATGTCAAACATTTACAATTTCAAGTTCTGGGGGCTTCAATTCAATGTTGGTCACCAGAAAAACCGTAATTTGCAATTAAGGTCCTCACCAAGTTTTGTTAAGATCACCACGAATAACCCTGAACAGTGTTTTGGTGTAAGTGTGACTTTCACTAAGAACAGGGCGGGGTGCACTCGCACCCCACGTGGCCCCATGTGCCAGCCCATGCGCCAACTCCTTGGCTGCTTCAGGTAGCCAGAACGTCACAAACCATGGTATTTTCCATGATATTCTAGAGGGAAATCCTAAGAGAGAAAACACAGTATTTTTTAAGTCTCTAAAAGCACACCCTCGTGGTTTCTATTCCAAATGTACAGGAGATTTTACTAAATGAAGACGGGGACGAGTCCCCGTGCTGCCCTTTCGCCTTCCGAAAGGCACTGATCCACTGCAGGGTAAGTATTCACATCCCAGTTCTTAGAGGACAAAGCCTAAATGTCCCAAAGCTCAAGTCTCTGAATAGCAGAAGTGGTTGCTGACACTGCGATGCTAAGAAGGTAACAGTGATGTGGCTGCAGCTGGAAGGGAAGGAGCTGCAGCTGAGATGCAAGAGGCAGCGGCACTTAAGACGAGCACATGCACACCCATTCTCGGTTTGACAACACAATCTAGTCTATTTCAAATAGCCAAGAATTTAACAGCTTGGAAAAAAAATCTTCAACAGGATAGCTGTCCTCAACTCTAAAATAAGCAAGAAGAGAAAGCTAATTACTGATCTGAGCCAGTTAAGTGAAGAAGAAACCTAAGTTGTTGTTTAGATTAACAGGCCTCACAAAAGGGAAATTACCCCTCACATAGCGATTTTAAAAATAATTTGTACTACTCTGCAGGTTTAGAGATGAGTTCGAGAAAAGAGGTCCTCTTCGCTGGGGTCCACCCACTCGCCTCCGCCTTCCGAGCCCGTGTCCTCCGAGTCGGAGCTGGCGCTGGAGTACATCTTTCTGCGGAAGCCGTTTGATTTTGCTCCAGAATTTCTCTCTCCTGTACACCTTGCTTCATAAACAGAAGACACCTAAGATTAAGAATAATTTTCAACATATCAAAAGTCAGATAATTTTCCAGAAGGGCTGTGCAAGATGCTCTTTTACATACAGAGATTAAGTAGCAAATTGCTGACGTTTTCCTGCGGAGAGTTACAAAAATATGAAGATCTTCCTGTTTCAAAGCAAAACAAACAAGCTTTTCTCCCTGATCCATAAAGGATCCCAAACCCTGATCCTCTGTGTTCAGCCCCTTGGACAGAACGTCAGCTACATCAGGGCTAGACGGAGACAAGTCTCTGAGCACCCACCAGAGGCCAGACTGCAGCCGGCACGACCTCCACTGGGAGGGCGACCGCCCGCGGGGGGCTCCCATTCTGAGGGAGACGACGGGGGACAACGACAAGCAAGCCAAGGGCACACACCATCCCGCTGCCAGACGAGCTGGGGGCATGGCAGACACATAAGAGAGGCTGGGGAGGTGGCTCTTCTGAGGAGAGGTCCCCTCGCCAGAACAGCCAGAGCTGGCCTGGGACCTGGGGCTGTGCTTCTGAACTGGGGGCCTTTCAGTCTCTGCTACCTTCCAGGGAAACTTCTGGCTGGGCGGGACTGTAGCCCACACCCCAGATGGTCAGCATCCCTGGCCCTACGACACGACATGCAGGCGGCAGTCCTGCCCCAGTCATAACACCTAGTAATGCTTCTCTCTCCCTCAGAGTGACTAGCGCGTCTGCACCCACCCCACCCCCGTCATAGTGAGCAGCACCCCCACTTACAGCAACTAGCAACACTGCCAGGTCACAGTGGCTAGCCAGCAACATCCCCCGAGCGGAGTAACCAGCACTGATCCTATTTCCATGTGGTAGCACCGTCCCTGGCTGAGCCCCAGGAAGGAGCACAGAAAGACAGCCGCGCTACTGGGGGGGCGGGGGAGAGGTACAATGGCGGAAGGACAGCAAGGCCAGGGGTGGGAGCAGAATTGGTGCCCAGCTCAGGTCTGCACTTGGTTCTGAGTCTTCATGGGCCTTTAGCTTTCTCTTCTGCAGAATGGAGGTGACAGCCCCTACCTCCCGGGGTGGCTGTGAGACTAGATGAGGCAATGCCTGGGAGGTCATCTGCCTTGCGGTGCAAGGAGAAGACCGGGGAGGGACAAGTGGCCACAGGAGACCCAGGAAAAGACAGGGCAACCGTGTGGAGGGGGAGGCGGTGCCAGGGAGCAATGGAGGTGGAGAAGTGGAGGATTTGGGATGGTCAAGGGGTGGTCGGGATGATGGGCAGACAGACTGTGTGTGGAAGGTGAGAACAAGAGGAACAAAGAATGAGTTCCAGGCACAGGGGCTGAAGCTGGAAGGTGGAACAGGGCACTATTCACGAGATGGGAAGACTGGCTGGAGAGGCCCCACACATCTGCCTTGACGGGTTACGTCCGACAGGTCCATGGACACCAGCAGCACAGGGTGCTGCGGGAGAAGTTCCTCCCAGGACTCCAGCTGACACTGACAATCCCACTGAGAAGAAAAAGACGTTTCCTTAGGTTCGTTCACCTGCCTGCCTAACTGGGCGAGGTCTGGGCCTAGACTAACCGGGCACAGGCCCTGCACCTCCCTCAGGGAGCTCACAGGCCTGGGGCGGGAGTGGGGATGCGGGCCTGAGTGCAGCCAAATGCCACGGGGCCACGACCAGAGCTCTGCTCTGGGAGCAGCAGGGGGCACAAGGGGCTGGGTCTGTCCCACGGAGGCCGGGAGAGGCGGAGTCGGCGCACCAGAGGGCTCCCTCATGGTTGTGCTCTGAAAGATGAAAAGGGTGCCCACCCGAGGATTTTAGGGGTAGTGACAGGCTCAGGTGTGCACTGAGAAGCTCCCTCTGGCAGCAGTGTGACGGACTGGAAGGGGAGAGGGACATGACCTGGGAAGCCTTGGCAGTAGGAGGGGACACAGACCTGCGGGCCCGTCCACAGAGCGTGGTGATGGGGAGGGGCAGTCACAGGACCCCCAGGTCTCAGCCTGAGTGACAAGGGGGGGTGGCCATTTATAAGTCAGTAATAAGGAGGAGGCAGTCCACTTACCCTATTAAAATCTAACAGACGCTCTTCATTACTGGGTATTTCTTTAACATCTGGATATTCTTCTATACCATTCTCTCCCTTGGCATTTGTATAACATTCTTAATCATTGTGAATGGAGAAGGGAAAAGAGGGAAAGGAGGGGAAATTTCATTAAGACACAGTATGAAACACATATTCTTGTTTCATTTTTCACTGAAAAGTCAGATCGGTTAGGTCTACAACCCGCTGGAGACCTTAAGTAGTCACTAAAAGCGGACACGGTCGGGTCAGCCCGTCAGGCGTGTGCAAGGGACATGCTGGGCCAGTCTAAAACTCTTCCAACAGACTGTTAATGAGTTAAAAAAATGTAGGCCAGCAAAACATACATTCTTGTTACCCAACCATGAGACGTTCACTCAACAAATACACACTCATGCCCGTGAGTGACGGGCCCCGGGAGCACGGGAGAGGAAGAGCACAGGGTCTGAGCTCTCAAGCGTGAGCGCCGTGGGGAGGGAGACAGACGACGCACCAGGCATGTGTTCACAGGACGGATGAACGAGCGGTTTCAGGCGTGAGGAGGGCAATGAGGAAACAAACAGGGCAACATCCGTCCTGTTCTTCCTCGACTCAGCAGCAGAGCAAACCATCCATGGAACAGGGGGAGAAGGGGGCTAGTCGTCTGACTGGGTCAGCGGCCCACAGGATGGGATGGGCTGTAAACTGGACTTAGAAGGAATCAAATCGTTCAGTCTAAGGGCTCTCAACCCTGGTTTCACATTCAGATCAGTGGGGGAGCCTTAAGGGAAGTCTGGAAGCCCAGGCCAGCGCCTGACACCGACTGCATTGGTCTGGGGCAGGGTCTGGGTATTAGCGTTTTTTGAAAAGCTCCCAGGTGACTCGAGACACAGCCAGGGCTGAGATGCTCCCACTTTCACCCAGATCAGCCCCCATTCCCCTCAAGGCGTCACTACAGAAAAGGCAGCCGGAGTGGAAGCACCCTGACGTCCCTGTGTGCCAGGCCTCTGCCGCACAGCTGGAGGAGAAGGCCCACCCCCGGAGGGTCCCGGCAGCGGCAGGGCCGGCTCCGTGACTGTGGGCCCTCCTCCCAGTGGGGCGCAGCCTGGGCCAAAGGGAAGGTCACCTGGGCCCTGCCTGCCTTCCCACCATGTACCCTCCATGACCTCTAGTTCTCACAGCCCTAGGCCCTCAAACTTCCTAATTTAGGGTCATTAAAAAAAATCCAGGCTCTGGGATTAGACAGATGTTAGACGATTCCTGCTGGCACTATGTACTTGTGATGTAAGTTGGGCCAAATTACTGGCCCTATTGGAGCCCCAGTTCCCTCGTCTCTGTAACAAGGTTCCCATTTGCCCTCACAGATTTCTGTGCAGGTTAAGAGATGAGGTGTGTGCAGCCTCAAGTACAAGGCTGGCACACTCGGTAACATCTTCCACAGCTGCTAGCCTTGGGCTTGGGGCCTGTCCGCTGCAGGATAGCGGGGGAGGACGCCCTGCACTGTGATGAGGCGGGGGACCCCGTGCATCCGTTCTGGGCCACCGCCTTTCCCTGGCTGGCCCACCAAGCTCTCATCCACCGGGCGCCGCACCACATCTGGTGACCACTAGTACTTGGCGGGGCAGGCAATGACTTCCTTGACTAGGATATGCCCACAGGTGGGGTGGGACCCCTCCCAGCCCTCCTCCTCCTCCTGCTTTAGGAAAAGGGGTCTGCGGCGCTGCAGGTGTCGGGGCTTTCACGACCCTCAGGTGGACAGCTCTCATGTTCCCGGTGTGACTACGTGCCATGCCTGTTCTAAGCACTTTGGTCTTCACAGCCCTCCTTTAAGGAGGCATTATTTTTAGCCTCTTCCTTACTAACACAGACAATGGAGACACAGAAAGGTCTGGTCATTGCCCAAGGCCTAGCGTCGGGTATCGGAAGCACTTGATTCCAGTTCAGTTTCGTCTCCTGAGCACTTAACTGTGATCTATACCGTCTTCCTACGGGGCTCTCTAAGACTAAAATAACACAAACACAACGAGCCTTCCAAACATTTCGAATCCAGCATATGAACTCTGGAGCTGGGAGCTCAGGACGGGCCTGCCGTGGCGCACGTCTGCAGGGCCTGCGTGGTCTGGCTCCGCCGCCTGGCTGCCCTTGCCGCCCCTGCCCTTCGGCACCGATCAGCTTTGCCAGGCACCCCGGGGCCACACCAAGGGCACCCCTGGTCCTGCCCCAGCTGGTGCTCCTGCCAGCACCTCTCCCTGCAGGTAGCCCCAGCTGTCAAGTGGCTTGTGCCCTGATTCCTCAGGTCCCTGCTCAGACATCACCTTATCAGGACGGTGGGGACGAGGTCTGCGTGCCTCTGCGTTCCCAGCACCTAGGACAGCGCCCAGCACAAGGTAAGTGTGCCAGAAATACCTGCTGAATGGGTGTGTGTGGACACACAGCGAGGTGGGCAGTGGCTGGGCTTTCGTGCTGGAGGGACTCCCACACTGCTCTGGGGCCGGGCCAAACGGCCTCACTAAAAAAAAAGGGGGCAATCCTCCTCCTCCCCAGGGAGGCCGGGGGCTCCCAGGTGAAGCCATGACTCAGAGCAGCACAGGCGTGTTATTAATCATGAGCAATGTCAGAAGCTTCTGGAGCGGGGACCAGAGTCGGCAGTCGCGTCTGCTGAGTGGGTGAGCGACCACCTGCTCTCCGGGTTAACCTCCTCCTGAGACTACACGCGCCCCTACCCCACAGGCTGAAAGAATGATGCTCCATGACGTCACTGCAAGGCGACTGTGCAGGGGTTTAGCCCACAGTTGTGAGGTAAAGGTCACTCAAAAGCCGGGTTACCGTCATTCACCACTGAGAGTTTCTTTACTCTCCACTGCACAGCTGGCTTTAAAAAGCACCTCGTACTAACAACCATTACAGCGCCCACCGACGGGCTGCACAGATAGCCCCGACCTAGAGCTAAGGGCTGGAAGGGAGTCCTCACTAGTGACAGAAAACCGGCCTCACGCTGCCAGGACAGCCTGCGACACGGTAACGAAGCACGAACTGGGCACCCAGCGGAGACAGCTGCTGGAGAGAGCAAAGCTTCTGGACCACGAGAAGCCAGCCTGGACTCAGGGCTGAGCTTAATAGCTAAATGCCTGATTCTGGGCAAATCCCTGAACCTGAGACTCGGCCTCCTCATCTGAAACAGCGGTGACATCTCCCAAGGGTTTTGTGGGTTGTATAAAACATTGAGAGCACCTTGTAAGTAATGAAGAAGCAACCCAAGTGTTAGCTATTGGTAGAGCAACAGGCCTTTAATAATGCTGTTTAGTAAACAAAGATGTTAATAAAGAAGACTCTGCCCTGTACTCTCGTCATGACTCAGCCAAGCTTTGGGGAGGAGGAAGGCAGGGTTTGGGGAGCCATTTCTGTGCCCACAGAACAAGCAAACAATCCCAGCCTGCCTCCTGCCACCCCGTCAGCTGAGGGAGGCCAGGCTGGAAGGAAGGCCAGCAAGGCATCTGGGGCCTGGGGCGGCGCAAGGGCGCTCTGGGCAGGAGGGCCACCACCGGCCCCAGGTTAACTCTAATGAGCTGAGGAGACGCACACACGTGAACGTGCAGACAGTAACAAGCGATTAGCTGCCCTCAGGGTCTGACCCGGGACACTAATAAATACACCCTGCAGCTGACAGAAGCCCGGGACCAGCGGTCCGCGCACACTCGGCCTCCCGAACCGACTGCTCAGGTTGCCTCCTTAGTCCCACTTGGCCCCAAACTTCAGATCAAAGTTTTTTTTATAGCTTCTGGGTATGTCCACCTAGGAGGCTCACAGACTAAACCTGCTGCTGTCCCCGGGCCCTCTCTACCTGGCCTCCCCAAACCCCCTCCTGCTATTCACTCCTCACAGAAAGGCATTCACCAAACTCTGGCACCCTCTGCAAAACCTCTCGATGCTATTCTGTGCTCTCCATCCCCAAAGGGGCTCTAGCCCAGGCCTTCCTCCTGTCCCACCTAGATCACGGCAAGGGCCTGAGCAGGCGCCCTTCAGTTTCCCTTGCCCTTCCCCACTCCAGTCTGTTGCTAGGATTGTTTTAAGACACACACCTGCCACGACACCTCCAGTCGAGATCTCTTCTGTGGTCTCCTCTCCTGCCTGTCTAGCTCCACCTCACTCAGCACAACCCCGAGCCCTAACCAGATCCGCTCGCCCCCCGCCGGCCTTTCCTGTCTTGCGACAACCCGGTTGGGCCCAAAGGGCCCCTGCTCCCCGCTAGCCTGTGCTCGGGCTGTTCTTCTCAGGGGGACCCCGATCCCCACCTCCCCACCTGGGCAGCTTCCTGCCTAAACACAGGGAGTGTGTGGGGCCTGTGTGTCCAGGCCCCTCGCCACCTCAGGCTGTGGTGAGTGTCAGAGCAGGGTCCAGTCCTCAGTCATCTCTGTGTCCCCAGTTCCTGACAAACTCCAGCTGCACAGAAGTCTCCTGGTAAACGTTTCTTGGACTGAGATTCACAGCAGAAGAATTTACTGCTCTTAACGACCAGACAGCTGAGTGAACGAATGAGTGACCCAATACAGGCCTCCTTACCTTCACACTCTGACGCAGGAAAAAGAGGAGAGTACAAGGCTTTTTCCCACCAGGTCTGTTTTTCTTGACTTCTATTCATTCCTTGTACATCAGTGTTCAATACAGGCAACTGTTTAGGTTAAACCAAATACAGAAAAAGTTTACAAACTTTCAAAACAAAGAAAAAAAATTCAAGCTTTATTACCTATGGATTACAAACCCAGGACTTTTAAATTGGTGGGGTTTTTTGTTTGTTTGTTTTTTCCTGCTCTAGACAAGGTGAATAAAAAAGCCAAAGTGTTCACAGCCTATAAGGGAAGTTTCTCTTAAGATGCTTTTACATTGGAAATGAAACAAAAAAAACCTTTCTAAAAAATACAACAAAACTCCATAAGGGAGGCAAAAACGTAACAGGAAATACACTCAGGTAAAGCAAATTCCTGGATTTTGGAAGTGCAGAGAGAGAACGGGGTAGCCCAATCCTCCACTAGTGTGAGGGGCCCTAGAGAAACAGGGAGGCCCCTCTGCTCCTTCACACATTCAAGCAGGAGGGAGTCAAAGAGAAAATGGAACAGAAGGAAGTAACTCTATAAATGAGTTAACAACCTCATGTCTTTTACAGCAGAATTATCTGCTTTGGTGAGAACCAGAAGGAAGCTGAGACTAAAACCAAATAATAAAGCTGACAGTAACTCAAATTCAAAACAGGAAACAGACATTGAAATGAGAGGAGGGCAGGACTCCTGAGAGCAGGAGACCCCATGCTCCGAACATGACCATGGCCCTGGCGGCGTGGAAGACACTCACGTCTGGGAGACCCAAGTTCGAACTGAGGCTCCATCCTTTATTGGCTGAGCTCCCAAATCCCAGCTGGACCTCACCCACCTGCCTGGGCAGTGAGGACAAGATGCAATGTGGCTAGTGTCCCTCATGATCAAGGAGTGTCCTCATGAGTGGTCATTAGAAGATGTGGCCCTCTGCGGCCATCACAGGTAAACCCTGGTTTGCTGGGGGTTGGGGCAACCTCTTCACGTTCCCTCCACGCTGTGCCTGATGCCAGGCCCTCCCAGGGTAAGGCCTGGCATGGGCATCTCTGTACCTCCCACAGCCGCTCAGTCTCAGCAAGTGTCTGCTCAGTCAGCGGACAGGACCTGTCAACACTGCCTGCATCTTTATTGTTCCACAAGACATTTCATTATGTATTCAAGTTCAAAACCTGAACTATCTTAGCAACTAATGATCTTCAATTCTCTAATAGGGTTTTGTTATCTCTTATAAAGTATTTTTTATTAAAATTTTTTTGATTCAGTAATTTTTTTATTACTTAACTAAATGGGAAATGCATTTCAAATTTTCATTTTCACTTAACTTTTCAGACATACTCCTAAATTAAAAACCGAAGGAGAACTGTACTATCTACCCAGAGTGGTCAGTTAACTTTCACCATTTTCTCCTGCGGGTTATTCTAACAATAAGAATTAGTAAAGTTATTACACAAACAGGTAACAAGGCCAACAGCGCCGACAAGGCCAGGCTTAATGCAAATAAAGCCAGCAATATGCAAGGTCTGCAGTTAATTCAAGGTGATTACTGCATTCGGCACGTAATTCACAGCACCGTGAAACCGTCCTGGAAAGGCCTTGCGCTCTCTTCCAAGGCAGACCTATTCTGTGGGAAGATTACGTAGTCTGCTCAAGGTGAGTAAGGACGTCGCCTGGACAGAACTCTGTCCATCATCCCCAAGGCACTACTGAGGAGATGGATTTGAGGGTAACAAGTTCTTACTTGAGAAAGAAAATGTCTGGGGGCAGGCAGTGGAAGGACCAGAGCTTTATTCACATGAGTGTAATGAGATTGCTTATCTTTTAATTCTTTAAAAAAAAAACAAAACACGGGGGGTGTAATTAGGTTTATTCATTTATTTTTTAATGGAGGTACTGGAGACTGAACCAGGACCTCATGTATGCTAGGCATGCTCTCTACCACTGAGCTATATCCTCCTCCCTTAATCCTCTCTTGAGACCGTGAGAATGGGCAAAGGGTAAGAAAAAGGAGAGAACTCATCAGGATGGCAGGACATGGTGGGGCAAGCAGGCTGGAAGGGTCAGGGTTCAGCTGGGGGGCTGGGTCAGCATGAACAGGAGGAGGTCAGATCCAAGCGGAACAAGGCGGTGAGCTTCTGCAGAGCAGGGGCCAGGTCTTATTTACCTTTGCATCTCCAGAAACAGGGCCCAGAACAAAGCAGATGCTCAGTGTCTGCCAGCCTTAAGAAGAGGTTCCACCTGTCGAAGTCCCTGATCACTGAGCACACCACTCTCTCTCCCTCTCTCTCCTGCTCACACCATCCGATCACGCCAGCTTCTGGCACAGTTTTAAGATCTGAGTGTCAATTCCAAGGGCAGGGACTGACTTACCCCGTTTTACACTACACTGAATACAGAGTCAATGAATATACATTATTTTGACATATTTCCGCTTAGTTATTTCCAACTTTTAGGCTACAAAGATGACCATGCTTTGCTTAAATAGTGTTTAATGTATTAATTCAACTTCTGGTTTAGCTGAGAATGAAAAGAATGCAGAAAGAATGGAGAAATAGGAGAAGAGAACAGAGCACAACTTGGGATGACCTGGGTGCCCTTCTGCCTCTGTCCCGCTCCCCTCTGCCTCCAGACAGCTGGTTGGCTCACTTTCCACCTGCAAGCCCTCCTTCAAGTTGCACCTTTGCGAGGAAGCCAACACTGATACCGTGGTTCCCGTGGAAACTCCTCCAAGCACCCTCGCCCCCCCCACCCTTTATCCGGCTCTTCTTTTCCACGGCACTGGTGTCCTAGCACACTCTGTCCCTTCACGTTGCTCACTGCACGCACCTCCACAAATGCAGGGATCTTGGTCTGTTCCTTTATGCCCAGCACCTGGACTTAGTAGGCTCTTAGTATTTGATGAATGAATGAAACAATGAAAAAAAGGAGAGGACATGGACTTAACCCAGAAAACCTGACCAGAAATGTCTTCAGCAACAGACGTAACACTCAGCAATTCTTTAGAAGACGGAAGTTAGGCGAAGGCTCACTGCTTTAAATTTTCACTAACTATTCTTAGTTCAGGTTAGAATTCAGAAGGGAAAGGCTGGGTATTCCTCCTTGGGTTTTACTCTGGGAACAGAACCCTGAATAGTGCCCCCTTGCCACAGTCAGTTCTCTGTTACTTGGGTCACAAAAGGAAAAGAAAGCCTCCCTTGTTCTTTGGAAGAGGAGAAAGGAAACATAAATGGAGAGATACGTGTGCTACAGAGACAAGAGACACGGCACTGACCGTCATGAAGTTAGGGAAGGACTCGGGCTCTGGGCCTCCGTGTCCTCAGCGGTCACGAGGGTAAATGAACCACCACAGAAAGTCACTATGGGCACTCAGGAGGATGAAGGTGACAAAGCAGAGTTGGCACAGGGCCTGGCAGAAGCCGGCTGGTCGCCATCTCCCAGGGTGGCCTTCACACCTACTCCTCAGGGCCTTCTGACTCCCATGGCCCTTGTCTGCCGGGCAAAACGGCCTCTTCTCCTGGACGAGGCCATGAATTCCGGAGGACGAGACCAGGCTTTGTGCTGCTTCCCTGCACCTTAAAGCGCACGGCACGGAGTCAGCAATCACGCCAATGACAAAGAGCACACCTCTGCCACCAATCTGTGCACAAGTGGATGCCAGTGGCACACTAGGCTCCTCACCTGTCACTGCGAACTTCAGAAGCCATGACTTAACTGTTGGCACCTTTCCTGAACACCTGAGAGATTTCAAGCCTCTTTATCCTCGTGTATGCTATTCCTTCTGCCTAGAGCGTCCTGCCCACTCCTTTCTGCCCTGGACGCTCAGGTATGTTCAAAAAGCCTTCCTCAGCTCTCCCAGGGTGGCCCGGCTCTCCTCTGGGTTCCCGTGGCTTCCTGTACCCACCTTCCCCACGCCACCTACCATGGTGCTTAAAACTATGTTGGCCCAAATGCCCTAAAAGGTAAGGAACTGCCTAGGAAATTCTGGTACATCAACACAAAGGAGTAGTATGCAGAAAGTAAAAAAGGAAGTGTAATTATAGGAAAGTGCCATTTCAGTTTAAATAAACAGGAGAAAACAAATGTGAACATGTATTTATTTATATCTGTATACAGTGTCCTTGGAGGGTACACCCCAGGGCCCACACTGGTGGTTGCTGCTGGGAGGGGGGGAACTGGTTCACCATGCATATACCCTCCTGTAACCTCTGAATTTGAACCATGGGAGTGAATTACCTATTTCAATGAAAATAAATGATCTGTTCAAATTGGTCTTCATGACCAGCCTGAATTCTCTCAGGGCAGGGAGAGTGTCTTGTTCATTCAGGGCCTCTCATCTCACAGATGGACATGGACAGCTCAACGTTTAATGAATGTTTTGCTGAACTGAACTGAACCAAAGTTTTGAAAAGAATCATAATTTATGTTCCTGGGCACCAATTCTTCTGGAAATCCTACATTTTAGACCTCTTGCTCTGAAACAGGTTGGCAACCAGTGACTTTTATAACAGGGCTTCCAGATCGCCGTTTGTAAAGACTGTCCTCACTCATGAAAGTTGGGGAGAAGACCCTCACAGGAACTCCCCAAGACTGACAGGCAGCATGAGAGTGAAAAGGCACAGATTCTAGTCCCAGTCTGGCCCCAAACTGTCCCTTAAAGCTCTCTCAACCTTTCTGCACCTCAGATGAATCTGAAGCAAGCTCCGCCCTGGCCCCGAACATAAGTGACGCTGCTGAGGCCCACAGCAGCCGGCCTCTCAGCTCAGTGTCCTCTGAGGACGTCACTGGCAGCTAAGACCTTCCGAGACAACCCAGAACTCTGTAACATCAATACATCAACATACTAGAAAGCGAAGGAATATGGCAGTGGTATGATGCAGAATCTCGCTTCTTTCCTCTTTTTCTTTCTTCCCCATCTGGAACCAGGTAAAATACAAAGTACGTGAAGGAACATTTAAGGATGAAAAGTGGGGCAAGAAACAAACAGGTAAAGCTAACAACATTGTTTCTTTGTTCCGAGCAGTTCACATTTCAGTGTTTCCATGGGATTCAATGCATGTCTCTTTAAGGACCCCCAGGCAAGCTAATCACTGCAGTGACTCTTCAGTCCCCTGGGGGCTTCCCCCCACCACTTGCGCACAGGTCCACACCTGGGCACAGACCGGCCACCAGTAAGGCATGATCCTAGCCACGAGGAGCTTGTAATCTAACAAGAGAAAGTACATAAATAACTCATGAAAAATAGCAAGTGCAATTAAAAAAAAAAGAGGCATAAAGCACATAAAAATTATAAGAAGGGAGAAATGACTTCTGATGTGGGTGGGGGTGGAGCAGGGGAGAGAAGAGGAATGAGGGACGCAGCAGTGAAGGAAATGGGAGCTGATGGGGCCTCACGGTGTGGGCAGGACCCAGAGGGGCCCAAGATGGGTGGGCTGTGCAGGAGGACAGAGGGGAGGGAGGGGACACGCTGCTGCTCTCCGGCTACAGGTGGCGGGACTTCTAAACACCTCTAGCAGTCTTTTTAATAAACTGCTCCTGGAACAAAGCCAGGCACTGCCGCATCAAATAGTGGCTGAGAAATGGGCTGATTGCTATGCTTTTTGGTCAAACAGGTTACAGCCTTAAATGTTATTTCTTGTAAACTCAATTTAAACTCAAATGACTTCTTAGGAATAATCAAATGGTATAGTGACTCCCATTAACAAAAAGATCATTGTTAGCCTCACTTGATAGACTTACCCGTGTAATTCACGTAGCTTCAGGAATATGCACTTTGTATAAAGCAAGGTAACATCTGTTCTGTAGAAGTTACTTTTTGCATTCGGATTGTGGGTTAATTTTTACACATACTACAATATATTTTAGAGAATTCTATATAGATATAATTTATTTTACATAAAAAACATAAGTTTCAATGAAGGAATCAATGTTTCAGAGGCAGATGGGCTTGCTACTTAAAGAAACCCTTCCCTGCCACTTCTGAAGAGCAAAGGGCCTTCTGAAGAGGAAACAACCACCTCCTGATTCACTGACTTTGAGAGCTGGAGCACTCACATATTAGATTTTGCTTTAAGCATAGTACATGCACATTAAGACATCACATAAAAATCTTATATCCTGTGATTTATTTAAAAATGTCTTTTCTCTGCAGAAAATGTCTGTCTAGTTCAAATTTATAAATATCAAATCCATTTTAAGTCCTTATGTAAAATCGTAAGAATCCTAAGTTTTATGACATTTAAGCCAAAGTCCCAATAATTTAACCCAAAACTTCACTGCCTGAAATGGCTGTTCTTTAAGATTAAAGTCTGATCAAATCCTTTTATCAAATACCAATACATACTGACACATACCTCATCCAGCTGTCCTGAAGAAGCTGGGTTATCTTCATAAGCAGGCAACTGACAACCTGCTTTGCAACTGCAAAAATTATTAATTTCTTCCTCACATTGTGCCATTATTTTACAATTTGCTTCTGAGCTTTCTAGATCAATTTCCAGAGCGTCATTCATGCTACACTCCAAACACGGATTCTGCTTTCCTCCTGGCAGAATCCCAGCTGATTCCTCCTGGGAATCCAGTGATGTCTGAGCACTCTTTTCCATTCCGGACTTTTTTAACCTGGGAAGGAATTTTCCAGACTCAAGCTCTAATTTTCCATAGTAATGGCCTTCTTTCTCTGCATCTTCTTCCAGTGGTTTGAGATCTGCCTGTGGATCTTCAAATGCATCAACTTGAGAAGGAATGGGAATGGTTGCTTCATCTTTTTCAGATTCAAATTCTGACTCGCTTCCTCCTCCTGGGGACAGTTCAGATGCAGAAATTGGGCGAAAGTGAGTCCGAGGAGAGATCCGGATAGCCCTGTACTGTGTTCTGTCAACGCCACATATCCTGGGGTGGAAAACTTCACTGTCTGAATCAGAGCAGAGGATTGATTTCGGTTTAAAACTAGGGCTGAAAGATGCAATCCCTTCAGGTTCAAATGAACATTCTACATGAAGAACTTGTGAAAATGGATTGCTTAAGTCAAAGGAAGAGAACGAATATTCAAGTCCAGGATCTTCAACTTGAAAGTTACCACAAGCTCCTAGTAAGTCTTCATGGAAGATAAAAGAAAATCCCTTATTCAACCCATTTTCCCCAGTCTTCGGCTGATCATTCTGTTCAAATGACATGAAGGGCTTCCATAACTGCCTGTGGCCAGGAGCAAAGCTGTTCCCTGGGGTCATAAAGACATCTGTACCAGCTATTGTCACCACGTCAGAAGCTGCACACTGTAACAAACTTCCTTTCGTGTGGCTGGGCGGCACGACTGCCCACTCCCCATCGCTGTTAAAGGATTTGAGCTCTCCATAAACTCCTCCGAGAATGAAGGAGTTCTCTTTATCCTGGGCCACATCCCAAGGTTTAGAGGGGGTGGTATAATCACCGCCGTCCACCTTTGACAGCTCACCAGAAACAAAAGCCCCCTTCTCCAGGTTCTCCTTCTGCCCCTCCCACAGGTGGTACTCTGATCTCTGCACGGCCTTACTGGGCTCCTGGAGCGGCTCCACTTCAGCTTCGGCGTCCAAACAGCAGCAGTAGTTATTTACATCTGTCGAAAACAACTCGTCATCAATTCTCTCTGTTTCTACCGCAGCTACAGAGTTTCTGTCTGCCATCTTTGTCCAAATGTCTTTAATTACCCCTGAGCTGTAGCCATCTCCATGCGGACTGCTTTCACTACAAACCTGTGTAGCTTCAAAGGTTTTGTTTTCTGGTTTTTGTTCCAGCTGAATACCACAGACAGATTCTAGTTTAGATTTTTTTTTGAAAACCAACGTCGGAATTTCTCCTAAAGTTCTGTTTTGCTGGCAAGTTTCATCTTGCAAAAAATCTAGAAGTTCTTCATCTACATAATTTGACGAGACTCTAGGAACTACATAATTAATATCATCTGCGTTAAACTGTGTGGGTTCTTCAAACTGAATATTTAATGTCTCATTGTCTGAACGTGTTTCTTCTGAATGGGACCATGGACTACAAGTTCTCGTTGAAAGATTAGAACAGTGTTCGTTTTCTTCAAAGGCACTATTTTTGGTCCATATTAGCAATCTAGACTGTGTTTTCCCAAGCATATTAGCACTAGAATCTGTATTTTCATTTCCCAAGTTGAGTGTTTCAAAAGAAAATGGTAAAACAGAATTACTGCATTGCACTTCAAACACTGAAAAACAAGAGTTTATGCCAGATCCTTCATTAATATCTGAAAAGAGCTCTTGATTGCCAGCAAGCAAATGCGGACTGAGCGCTGTGCTGTCTAAGATCGGGGAGAGTCTAATAGGAGAGTCTCCTCCAAAGCTCTCTCCATCGGCATCGCCAGAGCTGGACGAACAGCACTCCCAAAACTGAGCCAGATTGCCAAGGTCTTGTAGGAAGAAGCCCTCGGCGCCCACAGAGCTGGTGGAATCTGTCCATATTGCACGTTCCCCTTGCAACTCCATTCCATCTAACACTATGCAACATTCTGCCTCAAAATCTGTTTTCTCTTTGCTTTTCTGTCGAATCATATTCAAAATCCGACTTTCTCCTTGCATTGTTTCTGAGGCACCAGGATCCAACATGGATTGGTCAATATCCACTTCATAGAAGTGCGTTAATTCTGACAGATGAATATCATCCAAGTATCTGTTGTCCTCTGGTAGAGAACAGAATGAGGTCCCAGTGAGGTCAAGGTCCTCATTTATAACTGCAGGCATTTCTACAAAATGACCATCAATGAAAGTACCCGCTGCGAGGTATGTTTTATGAATATTATTGTTGCTGATACACAGACCGTGCACTGATTCAGACAATTCATCTACTGCCTCAGTTGTCAGATCACTTGTGTCTTGTCTGTTTCGGTATGTGGTCTCTAGTTTACTTTTTCTGCTCAAAGGAACAAAATACTCCGCAATCGGCTCGGTGTACCACAGCGGCTCCTCCTTGTACTCTCTGTCGTTCCTGCTCTCTGCGCACAGGTCCCTCCCCTCGATGCTCCCAGTGTCTCTTCGCCCCGGCTCCTTCAGCGGCCTCCTGCCCCGCCTGCACAGCTGCTTGACGGACCCGCTGCTGCTGCTGCTGCCGCCCCCGGCCTGCAGGCTTCTCTCTGCCTTCTCACTGTGTTTCAGTGAGAGCCTGCTCTGCCCGTTCCGCCCTTTTTTGTTTCGAATTTCCCGTGTCTTGTGTCTCACTTTCACGCACTTCATGGATGCTTTCAGCTCTCCCTGGTTACCACTTGAGCTCGAGCCTGCCTCGCTGGAGCCGGAAGACCAGGAGCGAGGGCGGCCCTTCCCTTCGGGCTTGTGTCGGGTCTGCTTTCTGTACAGAGCAGGCTTCTCTGCACCTGTGCCGTCCCTAAACGTGGTCTCCTTCTCGCTGTGACTTTTGCTCTGGGCCTTCTCGTGCACGGTGTTGGGCACGTCACTGCGTCTCTCCTTGGTGGCCTCACCTTCGCTGTTGCAGTCCTTGGGGGAGGACGTGTCTGTGCTAGCTGGCGGGGCTGTGGATGACGAAGAAGAGCTAGAGTAAGAACAGACTTTAGACTTGTTCCACACAGTCATGATTTCTTGCAGGCAAACTGGTTTCTCAGAAAGTGGTGGGAATGCTTCATAGTACCTGAAAAACAAGTAGAGAATTCAAAAGTGGGCACTCAGATGTATCAGATACAGTAAAACAACATCACCAATCAGAGAAATGGGATATTTCATCTCAGAAGTCAATGTTTACATCGTCCATGAATTACTAACTTAAACAATTAATAATACAGTAAAATATGTCTTATATTTAGTTCTATGGATCAAGCACCTTTATGTTCAGCACTGGGATAAGCATTATAAGGGTATTTAGAAGACATGCAAGGGACGTGTTTAGTGTTTGGATTCTAACTAAGAAGTCACAAATGAGAGACATAACACAGTGGAGAGAATGTAATCTTTTGATAAGAGATATGTGGATTTGAACCTCAGCTCAGTCACTGACTGTGCCTGTGACTTTGAGCTAATCATGTGGTGTCTCAGTCCATTTCCTCAACTGTAAAATGGTGGTAGTATGACTTACCTCACAAGGCTGTTGTGAGCACTGGAAACAGGTGTAGGTGAAAAGCTGGATAACAAAGCAGTCGAGAGCATGAGCTCTGAAGCCACACTCCCTAAGTTTGAATCCTGACTTTGCCACTTACTAGCTGTGTGACCTTAGGCATGGTCCTTAACCTCTCTGTGGCCTACAAAATGGGGTAATAGTATCTGCCTTGGAGAGCTGTCAGTAAAGGCATTAATATGTGAAATGAGACAGAGAGCACCCCAGTGATTACTGCTGCTATCATGGCCTTTTCCCAGGAGGCCAGGGCAATGCCCAGCATCAAGCAGGCCCTCAGAAATGGCAGGGGTCATGGTATTCAAGTGCTCAGAAAAGAGGGTGCTGGTGAGGCCTAGAACAATTAGAGAAAGTGGACCACAGTGGAGCCTTCAAGTGTCAGCCATGCAGCAGTTTGGTGAGTACTGTGAGGCCTGGGACCCTGTGTGAGGACACGAAGATGCTGTGCTCATGGAACTGAAGCCCCACTAGACCAACAACTGCTGGAAATGCAGGGCAGGACAACCAGGAAGGCTGGTTTCAGAGGGCTTGAAAACAAGAAAGAAGAGTTTGCAAGAAACTAGTAGCCATTGAAGGTTTCAGAGCAAGACAGCCTGCCAAAGGAAGACTCGAGAGTCAGTCTGGCTACCAAGGTGGCCTAGACTCGACTCTCCTTTTCAGTCTATACCAGCACTGTCCAATAGAAATGTATTGTGAGCTTCACAAGTAATTTTCAATGTTCTGGGAGTCCCAATAGAAGTGTAAGAAGAAACTGGTGAAATTAATTTCAACAGTGTATTTCACTTAACCAAATATATCCACATTAGCATTTCATATGTAATCAATATTTTAAAATACTAATGCAATATTTTATATTCTTTTCTATATGAAGTCTGAACTCTGGTGAGTATAACACATACAGCACATCTCAATTTGAAGCAGCCGTATCTCAAATGGTCAACAGGCAAACACAGCTGTGGTTACCATGCTGGACAGAGCATGCAACACAACCAACTGAATGCTGTTTTTCCCTTAAGACTTAGGAGTTCATAAGATTCAAATAAAATGTATAATAAGGAAGTCTGCTTACAGTGCGGCCAATTTTAATACTAGCCATTTACAGAGAAAGACAGAAAAGCATCTTCAGGAAACAAGTCTGACGAGGTCATTGACTTGCTTGGCTTCCTTGTGTGTAAAACAAGAACAACCATAATTTCTCACCACTGTCTCAGAGGACTGGCGTGGATGTCAAAGGTCATATATGAATGGATCATAAATAACAACCTTGCTTGTCTGATTGGTTCATTTCAAACACTGATTTAACATGTCTAAAAAGGAAAAGACCGTCTTACTCACCTTCGAATTCTCAGTGTCAAGTACACAATACGTGCTCAATAAATGTTTCCTGGGTTATAAAATATCAAACTAAACAGAAGATGACAAACACTGTAAACCATGCAGCAGTCATTAGTCTGATTTTAACAAATGCACACTTTATTACTGAGTACAAGCTTACATACATTTCCACTTGATCCTTTGCTGTAGGGGATAATTCTGCCTCTGGAGAGGGAGACCCCTCTAATTTTTTGTGAATCTTCTCTTCTGTTATGAAACAAAAATTCAGAAAGATTTGTCTTATATCTAGTAATGCTTGTGATTTTACAAGTTTCTCAAGTAAATTTAATCAGGAATTAAACAGGTTTTTGTGGCTTAAAAAGAACTCTATACCAGTTTGCCATTTCAATAAAAATCTCTCTCTTCAGTGTGCCAGAGGGAATTCTCTGGCTAAACTACATCAGCATTGGGCTGAGAGCTGAGAGGAGTTCATCTCAGCACTGACAGTGCTCTGGAGGTACTTAATTACCAGACTGAAATCCCCTGGGTACCTATTAATTACACCAGAAGGAGAGAACATCTATTTAGATTCCAAAAATACTTTCTCACAAAATTCTGCACTCACGGACTTTATATTGCCTCATCTTGACTAATACTAACATGAAAGAAAGTTATTACAATTAGCTCTGTTACTAGGTGAGCAAGGGCTGTGTTTCAACCAAAATAGAAGCAAAGGGCTATACTCTTAGCTTAGCTCATGATACTGACCTCAGATTAGAAACAAATAAACTGCGCCCTTGAAAGGCAGGCTCACGGCTTGCTGGACCGCAAAATAACCACGAAGAGGACGTGGGAAATAAAGATCCTTAACTTAACAGGTAACTTCCATTCTACAGGCTTGCAGAGAAGTTGGGAAAAGCAGCTGTGAGGGTGATTCATGAACCAAAATGACTTAATGAGTTTGTCAAGTCTGCCTGCCCCAAAACTTCCAGAGTCAAGGCAGAAGTTCCTTCCAAACCTGTAATGATTAGTTTTGACACCTTTGGAGGCCTTGATGTCAACAGGCAGATATTAATTAGGGTGTGTGTGGGGAGGGATGGGAAAGAGAAGAGATTATTGCTCCTGATCCCTGGGCTTCAATCTGAACAAAAAGAGAAGTCTCCTCTCCCTGAGGGCACCTGTGGATTAAGTCACTCCTCTGAGAACAGGGATGTATCTACGAGTGATGGTGGAGGGAGGGCTGACCCAGAAGCCACTTACAGATAGAGACACTGCCTGATACCAGGCCCCGGCCCCATGACACACCGAATACAAAGGCTTTGTTCCTGCTGCCTTTCCTTTTGGATCAATTCTATTTCCCCCAATCAAACTCCTTGTTGACTAGATCCTACTGCACACAGACAGCCTTTTGGAAGCGGTGCTCTCACCTTGCTTACTCTGAAGGTCTTTCAGCCTGGAGCAGAGCTCCTCCACTAAAGTCTCGATACCAGAGCTCTGCATGAGAACAAAACACACGTTAGTTTACTGCCAGGTATGCACAAGTCAGGGATTTGTATACTCTTGTTTTAGTACAAAAGTTTTACAAATCTTCCATGTTTCAAAAGAAATACATTATCAATATTTAAATGAACACAAGTTTAAAAATTACAGGCTTGCAGATCCAATTAAGTATAAATATTTTACTAATAAAGTATATTCAAAGGCACCTACTAATAAAAAGCGAAACTATCAATGTACCTCCCAGACAGATTCTGTCTTCCCAGGGATGTAGCATCTTGCCCACAGGGAAGCCTAAGGACCTAAACGCCCATCTTATGGTTAAGTCAGTCACCATCGAAAGCAGCATTCTGTACCTGTGGAGCAAGTGCTTGTAACCAGATTCAGTACAAATTAAAATCACAAAAATCTCACTGTGGGCCTCTAGGAGCTCATGGTCTGAAGAAAGCAAGGTGATTTTTTTTCTCTTTTAAAGTGCACACTCGTGACTGGAACAGAAACAGCAGACAGAAAATATACATCGTTACCGTGAACAAATGTGAAAGCTGTACTTCAAGGGTCATGAACAGGGCATTAGCCTCTGCACAGACCTGTGGTAAAACGCAAGAAGAGCACGTAGAGAGTCTGAAATCGGGAGGATGAGAGTAAGAGCCAAATTCTGAAGAAAAATGAGTGCTGGAAACAGGCATGAACAAATCTCCCACCACGCCGACTGCAAACTTCTAAAATTCTCTATTTCTCACAGGGGGAAGAAAGATCTTTTACAAGGTACAAAAAAAGTGAATGTACTTCCTAGGAACTTCACATTTATTCAGTGGCTGAAAGTCCTATGTAATGTGGAATTGAGTCTCTCGGTGGGCACGATCCAAACAGATGCACAGGACTCTGCTCACCCGCCGCCCTCAGAGGGCCTTGAGGGGCTAAAAATAGAACGTTACCCCATTCACTTCACTCAGAATGACTCAGCACAAGTACTAGAGAAATCCTAAACAAGAAACCGCACATTACACAGTTTGAGCAGTGAGAAAAATTACCATGAAAACGATTAATTATAAACACTGACAGTCACATTCCATTCACGTCATATCGCAGCTTTTACTAGGAGAAAGGACAGGAGAAGAAAGGGAAATGGGCCAGAGAAGAGCTGTCCTTTCCTTAAAAACACTCTTAAAAACCATGGTAGATACTAGTCACAAACCCAGCTCTGACTACACAATTCTATTGGAGAGACTTGGCTTACCATAATGTTCAAGGTGTGATGAGTATGGCCGTTTTATTCCACTTCCTCCAGGCCGTGAACCTAACACCGGCGTCAGCTGACACGCGGCTGCACGCTTTCCTATACAGCCAGTCTGTGTCCCTGTGTTTCTAAACCTGGTGCCAGTCTCCAGGGCAGAGCACCGAGCCCCTAGGGATCGCTTATTCCACTCCGCTCAGTGCTCTGAAGCGGCGGGCTGTTTACAGGTCTCCATGGAACAATCACCACAACCTAGTCAACAGATACTATTTTTTACGCCTCATCTTGGAAATTACCTTCACGCAACTATAACTTCAGTTGTTCTGGACAGTTAACGCAGCTTAGGAGTATACACGTTGCTGTCAAACATAAACGGAAAAGCAACAACGGGCTTACTCCTGATCTCTGTGACCAAGAGCAAGCTCTACCCACACCAGGCCTCTGCCTTTCTTCCTTGATTCCTGCAGCATCCTACATACACATACACATATACATATACAAATAAAAATTGTTAGACCACTGGGTTCCCGTAATAGCAAACTGAAAAACTAAAGGGGGTAGCAAAAGCAGCACTGTACATTGTCATCTTATGGCAGCTGTTCTGAGGTGTTGATTTGCTGTTAATGAGAAGTTTTACTTACTTTCCCAATTATGATATAAACTACTAGATGAGTTTAATGATCATATTTTAATAGTATACCATATCCACAGGGGCATTCAAGAATACAAAGAGACTGCAGTATCTTAAGAAAGAGGAAGTACATTACACCCACATTTTAGGGAGAACTCTACAGAACATGTTGTAGGTGAAAAAAAATACCAACATTCTACCACTGAATTCATGAATTGTTTTCTCAACTGTAAAATGGATATTACCCACTTGCCCCTCAGAATCAAACTAACATGCAACAGTGCTCTGCAAACCGTAAGAGTGCTCTAAAGTTCACGTTATGCTCCCCGGGTCTGAACGCGTGGAGCTGCGCGCACACAGGGACTGCGCGGCGCAGCAGCGGGCCGGGAAGCAGTCTTCCAGGTGCACGGCCGTCCACTGGTTTCTCTCTCTCTCACCCTGTCAACAAATGGTCAGGGGCCCCCAGTGTGCCAGGCAGGACACCAGGGGAGACAAGCTCCCTGCCCTCATGGAGGCTACACTCTAATAACCCTTACTTCTCCAAGGAGATGGCCAGGAGGAATGGATGCGGGTCTGCACTCCCACCCTGCCGCATACTCCCCGGGCAGCAGGCTGTGGGCCTCTCCCTGTCTCTGAACACCTGCCTCTCAAGAAGCCCGCGCATAAACTAAGAAGATGAACGTGTGAGGCACCCATGAGAATGCCTGTCATATCAGTCACCTAAACACTGGTGCCTTCTCTAGATTTTGCGTATGTTTTTGATTTTCCAAAGTCTCATATTGGGATTCATTGCTTTTGAAAAGCCTTGAATTTCTGCTGCTATTTGAGCTGGAGGCTGGAGGAGGAAGAAACATAACTCATCTGACCCAGATAACCCAGAGGCCCCTGGATTCTGCCTGGGCTCTGGGTGCTGGCACTGCCGCGTCCCCTCCCCTGGGCTGCAGGCTGGAGTCAGACCCTCCCGTGATGGTGGAGACGGAGCCTGCGTCAAACACTGCAGCCACTGTCCCACTGCTTCTGGGAGTCTTGTGTGTTCCCAGACACATTTCTGTCATTTCCCATCCCACAGCATTTCCAGTGCTTCTCCATCCTCCCTGCCTCCCATCCTGCTCAACCAATGACCTTAATCATTAGGATAAAGAAAACAAAGGCAAGCTGATTTATTTTGCCTCGTTTCCTCTCCTCTCCATATTCAAAGGTTTCTGCAGCTATATGAGTCATCTCAAAGGTTAATCCTCTATGGAGAACCCTTTTGGACTGGATATGCTCCAATACTGGACAGGTACTCCCACACCAGCCTTGTGATCACTAAGCAGCATGATCCTCAGGGACATTCAACGGCCCGTTCCATTCAGGGGCGGCAAGGTGGGAGTCAAAAAGAACTGGGTTTGACTTTCACCCCAGAGTTAGCCACATGACTAGTGAGCCGTAAGTCACTCACCTACTGAAGCCTCACTTTTCACAGCTGGAAAACAGTGCGAATACCACTGACACAACTCCTAATAGTCGGTTTGGGGGCTTCTTGCGTCAGTCCCCTCATTTCTTTTTTCTCTCGCATTTACAATTTCTTCATTTTTTGGTTCCTCCTTCTGGGAGATTTCCTCAGCTGTATCTTCCAATCCTTCTGTTGAGTCTTTTCATATTACTATTTTTCAAATTTTCAAGAGATCATCTTGTCCCTTGAGTATTTCTTCTTTGCAGCAAGCTTTTCCTCAGAGAGAAATTCCCCGTCTTCAGAGTTCTGGCAGCCAGGCAGAAGAAAGGGGTGGGGATTCCCCAGTCAATTTGCCAACTTTCATTTGGCCCCCAATGTTCATTATGGGATCTCATGATTTCCCTCAGAGGTGCCCAGTGTCCTAAGCCTGTCTGTTTTCCATCTCTCCAGAAAGTACCTGCCAGGATGGGGAAAGCCTATCCTTTGGGGCCCCAGGGAACCATGTCTCCTCCCTAGTGCAGGCTCCTCTCACAAGTCTGCTGGGATTCCTCAGTGAGACACTACCAAGTGTGAAGCATGCCCGTCCTGGGCTCCCCTGCCAGGTGCAGAAGCCTAAACGAGCCATGTAGAGAAGGTGGCTGAGCTGCCAGACAAGTGAAAAGAGCAATCCTGGATGTTCCAGTCCCAGCTACCACTGACTGCGACAGCATGAGACCTCAGACAGGACCAGCCAAAGAACCTCCCAGCCGAGCCCTAGCCAACCCACAGGACTGTGAGCAGCTAAAATGGCTGCTGCTGTCAGTCATTAAGTTTTGGGGTACCCTGTCATGCAGCAATAACCAAGGAACAGACTTCCAAACATTCCTGTGTTCAGACCCACCCTGCACATGGAAGTCCGTCTACAGTTTTTCAGATCTCATACTTAATGTCTAAAGCAGAGCTAGGCACTGATGGAATGATTACTGGTGACCATTCCCTGAGAATAAGGGATCAATTCCATACTTTACTGAGTGGAAGTTTTTAAAAGCCTTTTTAAAATTTAGAACTAAATTAAGGTTGAGTCATTAAACAAAAGAGCACCAATGAGATAACTGAGAATATACAGCAAGGTTCATAAACTCGTGCCTCAGTGGCCAGGGAAGTAACACAGACGTGTGACAACTAGGTCTAATGCAACAGGAAGCAGTGGTGCACGTGGCTATGAGGATGGAAAAAACACCCCTGGCCATTCAAAGATAAAAAAAATTTTTTTAATCCAAATTAAAAAAAGGCTGTCTCTGTCAAGGCACCTGCACGAGGGCTGTGATTCCCAACCTAAACACACGGGGGTCTACGAAAATCCACTCACTGGCCTGCCCCCAGCCTGGACTTGTGCTTGCTCTCTAGAACATGGTGCAGAGGAGGAGAGGTGTCTCCAGTGGATATACGTTGTCTGCATGCCTACCACAGGCCAGGGAGGAAGAGACCTACGTCCTCTTGGAATGATGGACAAAACACAGTTAAAGTCTGTCATAAGAAGTAGAAGATGTCAACCTCTGTTACAAGCAATGACCAAACAGCTTGATTAAACAAAACTCAGAAAAGCGCAGCTCTGCTTTGCCTCACTCTTTAGCAGGGCTACGGTCTGGAGAGCATCACCTGGACAGGGCAGAGATGCCCGGGTCGCATAAAAGCTGGACAAGGTATTCAATGTCTCTGAGCCTCCGTTTCATCATCTACAGAAGAAAATACTTCAACTTGAATATTCAAGTCCTTCAACCTTCCTGGTTTCTGGTAGCGTCCTGGTGATTTAGGCAGACCATATTTTTAATGTATGCAGACAAATGTCCTGTTTCTAACTTTAATTTGGAGGTGGCAGTTTCTCTTCCCGTCAGATATCTCTGTTCCTCCTGAAACAACCAAACTTCCTGAAGGAGATTCAGGAAAAGGAGCTTGGAAGGCTCCAGGCTCACTGTCTGGATTCACTGCTTGTCACACCTCACTGGGGGACTGACAAGAATAGCCAAGTTCCTCAAAGCAGAACTTAGAATGGTTATTCTTAACCCAGGAAGCATGAACTCTTAAGGAGGCTACCAGTGGGCACATAAGAAAAGTTTATGTGTATCTTTCAGGTTAGGTCTATCGCTTTCATCAGATATTCAGGTCTGTGGTGATGCCAAAATGGTGGGAAAAAACCAACAACTGACTTTAATGTAGCAGCTGATGCCTAAGGATAGACTCTGCAGAAAGCACGGCACATACACGAGAACATTCCTTCCGGCGCTCTTTATAGCAAGCAAAACTGGGAAACAACTGAAAGGTCCGTTACCAGGGGAATAAACAGCTTTACGGTGTTACAATGGACAACTATTTAGCAGTGAAAAGAAATTATAAGATCACACTGTCAACACAGATCAATCTTTAAAAATGTTGACTAAAAGAAGCAAGTTGTAAAATACAGTATGATACTACTCAAGTAAAGTTAACATGCAAAATAGTCTCACATTTGTGTATCTCCTCAAATACCATTTGGTAAAAGTATAAAGGCGCACGCGGGAGAGAAGCACCAGTTCAGAGCAGTGGGAACCTTGGAGAGCGGCGCAGAGAAGCACCGTCAGGAAAGGGTGCGGGGCCGAGCCACGCTGTGAGTGTTTCCCAGGCCGCATGCATGGGTGTGCACTGCTGTGTCTCTGCACCTGCTCCGTGTCTGCCTGTCCACCTCCCGTACCGGGTCGCTCACAGCCCACACCATAACCCCACATATACCTCTTTTTATGCCCTTTTGCTCACCTCACTCTCAGATTTTTATAGCAGCCCCTCCCCCTGGTTTCCTTTTTCATACCCTCACTTTCAGCATTTGATAGTTCAGGAAATTTCCTATAAAAATCCCAATTTTCTACCTTTTCTAAGAGAGAAGACCTGGCATCACCAGGACAGCACTCGCCACGGTAACCACCAGTGAGCGCCAGGGCGGGCCTGGGCCCTGCGGTTCACCACAGGCCTCCCCTCTCCCTCCCGTCTTACTCACTTAGCTTCCTGCTCAGCCCCGGGAGACCATGAGCCAGCGAGCTCTGGTGAGATAAACAAGCAAGGGGTCTGTTATTTAACCTCCTCCCCAAACCACCCACCCATCAGCCAGACATGCATATCCAACTGTGTTTTCAGCATCTCCACTGCACTCTCCTGGGCACCTCACATTCAAATCTTAATTCAGACCCATCCACCTGCAAATTAGTGTTCCATCCCTAGTTTCCTTTTCCTCAGTAAATGAAAATCCCATTCTTGCAGCTGCTCAGCCCCAAAACCCTGGCTATCCGCCTCAACCCTGCCCCTTTCCTCCACCTCACGTCCATCCTGTCAGTTCCAACTTCAAAACAGATTTGGAATCTAACCAGGTCCCATCCTTACCGACCCTCTGGTCTGATATGATGGATCCTTAGCTGCTCTCCCTGCATCTGCCTCGGCCACTCCAACCAGTCTTCCTGCAGCGGCCAGCGGGGCCCTTACATTACCCCTACTCCAAACTCTCCAATATTCGTGGTTTCTCAGAGGAAACGCCAAAGTCCTCAAAAGGGCCTCGAGGCTCCCCTGAGTGCTCCCGCTCCATCCACGCCCGAGGAGATAGGCCTGGGCTTCCCAGAGCAGGGCTGGCTGTGACAACACAGCAATTGTGAGCCTTCCCAGCTTTAATAACGTGGCTTCTCAGAGGGCTGGCCTGTAGAGGGCGCACAGCATCACCTCGTACAATGTACACAGAGCACCAGACAGGTACCACACACATTAAGTGCTCAATAAAGATTATCACTGTCTGATGCTCTAATTATCCAGAATGAATTAAGCTCTAACATCAGCATGCAAAGAAACAGGATGTATGGTCAAAATCAGCCCTGAAAGTACTCCCATGAACTACTTTACATGGTTTTTGTACATACAACCCTGCACAGCAGATAAACAACACATACACGAAATACTAAGATGTACTGTGTACTTTAACTGGCAGAAAGAATTTTACCGGCAGGCTTAGCTGAATGTGAAGATATGAGCAACTAGAGTAAGACTCCACTGTACCTGGAGCATAAGTCCTCTGTAAGGCTCTCTACAGAACCACAGGTGGAGTCAGCTACCCAGGGTATGCAGCAGCGCTGTTACTTTTCAAAACTAACTTAACCAAAACAAGTTATCATTGCATCCTAACTTCATTTACTCCCCGAACAGGGCCTTGTTGAGTTTCTGATATTCTTCCAAAGTGGAAGATGAAATCCTAGCTTTGATTCAGTTTTAAGTAGCTCAGTTAAAAATATATATATATATATAACTAATTATTAAAAATAAAACAAAACCAAACAACATAAAAAGCTTGAACTTTGGGGATAGAGAAAACAGAACCAAGTAAACTTGAGGAGTCAGAAAGCAACAGCTGGCACAGTTCAACTTTGTTTCATGTTTTTAAAAGGGAGGACAGGTCTGGATGCACACGCCATGTCCACTGACAACAGAAACAAATCAGCTTAGGATAACCTTCCGTATCTATAAAGTGCCCCGTCACTGCGTCCCAGCCCCACTCCTCTCTACAGGCCCCATTACTAACTGCACTCAAAGCAAGTGCAAAATGTTATAGAAAACGAGCACCCTGAGAATTACCTCTTATCTGCATGTGTGAATGAAGAGCATTAGAAAGGCAGTTTCAGCTGGGACCTAACAATGAGGCCCATCGAAGGTCATGATCCCCGGAGGGATAAACAACCACCACCGCAGGTCTTCACAGGTGCCGCCAACGTACAAAATAAAAATTCGACATAACTGAGCTTCCATGTGGTTTTGGCAACATTTCTCAGATAAAATATTGACCTGAGCAGGTCAAGAGACGTGCTGTAATGTGGGGCATAACCTGATGCAAGAATTACGTGGAGGCACAGAGTCACATCACAGGTACATGAAAGGGAAGTCAGCCATTCTACTCACACCACGACGCGGTGAGGAGTCTGATACCTTGGGGATGCTTTTATAGAAACAGCTAACACTGCAGCTGTGACAGTCTCACACACACACACAGGAAAGTAACGAGAAAAGAATTCGTCTTATGTAATACATAACATCACCTCTACTTACCTGGCCAGCAGAGTGAGAGCCTATGTTACAGCCATGTGATTATGTCATTCACATTTTAACCAATTAGATTGTAAACTTATTAGTGGCTCTGGGTTCTGAGCAGTTTGTAGTGACTACACAGAGCTGCACTAAGAAGAGCTCTTAGTTGCCACTAGAACTGGGTGGGAAAGCAAAGCACAGAACCACGAGCACTGCCATCCTCAGCGTTTAGCAGACGAACACCACACTATACACAGACATCCACTGTGGTCAAAATATAAAACAGAACTTTGGCATTACAATTTCCTATGTAGGGCCTTCCTTGCTCCTTTCTTTTCACCGGAGCCACCAGACATTCTAGAAAGAAAAGCCAGGGGACACACAAATAGCCCACAGTTCATAAATGACCACACTGATTCCTTTCTATGGTTACAGGCCATAATTTAAGAGGGTTCTTTTCAACTTCTTTCCATTGGCTCCCCAAGAACCCGACGAGCTGGCTTACAGGGCCTGTGCACCGATGTACAAACAGCAGGTGGCTCAGGTACGGGGCTCTGGGCTTGAAGACTTCCTACTTCCTTTTCATTCTGTCCCCAAGCACTCGGTTGAGTTCCTGGTGTATGCCTGGCACATTCACTTCCTCAGCCAACTTTAATTCGATAAGATTAAAAAACAATCACTATTAGGAAAAAGCAATGCAATCATTTGCCATAAAATGAGAAGGACAGAGTAAGACACGACAAATAGACTTCATTGCGCTTGTAAACAAAAATCTTGCCTTTGACAGCCAGGCAAAGGAAAGCATTTTCCAAAGGAGCAACTCAGAGAATCAAAGATCTTTGCAACCCACTCTCCTTCCCTGTGCTGTTTCTACCCAACACCAAGCTCCTGTCTGCACACAGCCTGCTTGGCTAGGATGGATTACACACACTCAGCAGGCTGCAGGAGGAGCCGGGTCTTGCACTGCACTAGGACAAGGTATCTGTGCTCCCTACTCTTCCACAGCTGGCTTCAGCTGTCCTTGTTTTTCACTCCGCTTCACCATGAGTCGAAGGCTAGAGTCATTTCTCAGCAACTTTGGTCTAAGGCAGAAATAAGATCCTGTCCCAGATTGAAACTCCCTACTCATATTTTCCTCCCAACCATGACTCAGCAGCAGCTTCTCTGGACTGTACTCAAAGAATTTACCTGAACTAACCTCTCACTTTTAAAAAACATCTGCATTCTGAATTCCTTTAAAAGCTCCAAATTCCTTTACCAATCTATTACTCCCTTCAGTGTCCCCCAGAAGACACCTTTTGGGTAACTGTCCAACCACCCTCTTTTCTCTGAGGACTGCCTGTCACTGCTGAAAGGGTGGACCTCCAAGCAACTCTGTCCCCTCACCACAGCTTATCAAACCTGGGGTGGACACCTGGTCTAAGCCTAGCCAATCAGATTCTCCCTCTAACTGGATGGGGTTGGGTTCTACACTTGAGCAGTCATGCTGAGCCAGGGCTAGAATGGTTGTTTTCTCACCATGTGTGTGCTGAAGCGGAGAAAGCCAGACTTCAGGAAGAGAGGGAGTGACTCAGAAACAGAGAGAAGCAATGGGAGACTGTGGGTCATCAGAGAAAATGACTGGCTGCTAATCATTGCGCTCCCAGTTCAGGTTGCTCCCGAGGCTGCTGCAGTTCCAGCACTTCGTTTCAGTGAGGTATCCTGTATCCTTTATGTATATTTCCATTTTTTTCTTAAACTAGGTTACGTATGTTCCTACTCTTTGTAACAAAAAGGTACCCAAGACAATTATATGAGCAGTAACTTCCACATTCCTATCCCACAGTCTATGAGGCAGCCACTTCAAGAAATCAGAAGTTAAAAAATCAAAGGGCCCAGGAATCCCGCTCTTGGGTATATCCAGAAGGAACCCTACTTCAAAATGACACCTGCACCCCAATGTTCATAGCAGCACTATTTATAACAGTCAAGACATGGAAATAGCCTAAATGTCCATCAACAGATGATTGGATAAAGAAGATGTGGTATATTTATACAACGGAATACTACTCAGCCATAAAAACTGACAACATAACGCCATTTGCAGCAACATGGATGTTCCTGGAGAATGTCATTCTAAGTGAAGTAAGCCACAAAGCGAAAGAAAAATACCATATGAGATTGCTCATATGTGGAATCTGAAAAAAAAAACAAACAAAAACATAAATACAAAACAGAAACAGACTCATAGACTAGAATACAAACTTGTGGTTGCCAAGGGGGCAGGGGGTGGGATGGGACAGACTGGGATTTCAAAATGTAGAATAGATAAAAGATTGTACTGTATAGCACAGAGAAATAAATACAGGATCTTGTGGTGGCTCACAGCAAAAGCGAATGTGACAATGAATCTATGAATGTTCACATATAACTGAAAAATTGTGCTCTACACTGGAATTTGACACAACATTGTAAAATAACTGTAACTCAATAAAAATAAATAACTATCTCGCAAAAAAAAAAAATCAAAGGGGTGGGGGAAAGGAAAATGGTGGGAAGAGGAAAAAGGACAGGATGAAAAGGGGCGACTCTTTGGAAACTGAGGTTCAATTCAGTTCAAGAGAAATTGAGTACCTTTTACACAATCGGCGCTCACTGCTAGGCACCGGGAGCTGCAAAGATGGGTAACTCACAGTCCTGGCCCCCAAGGAGCACAGTGGAGGGAAGACAGGAGGTGGGGCGTGCACGAGGTTCCGTGTGCACGGGCCCGGGAGCTGGGCTCCTGCAGACAGCGCTGAGCAGGATGAGAACGCAGAGCTGGGAAGGGCTGCACAGGCTTTAAGGCGTGTGTGACAGGTGGCAGTCAGACAGAATAAACTTCTGCAGATTACCACATGCAGCAAAGCTGCTTACTCCAACATGAGGCCATTAGATATTAGTTTAGGAAGGAAGTTTGCAGAGGTGGGAAGCCTCTCTAGATACCTTGTGTGAATCTTCTCAATTTAACTTTACATTATAAAGGTACTTAAAGCACACTATTTCAAACAGCACAGTGAAAGCAAAATAATTTTCTAAGTAGTTATGGTCTCAGAGATTATACCTTACAGTGAGTAATTCAGTAAGAATTCATAGTATTCATTTAAAAAGGCAATTAAATTCTAAAACTATTGTTATTTCAGGATGCTGAAGGACATGAGAAATATTATATATGAAGTGTTAAAAGATCAATAAAATAATCTTACAATATTTTCTTAAAAACTAAAGCAGGGGAGGGTATAGCTCAGTGGTAAAGCACTTGCTTATTAGCACGCACAAAGTCCTGGGTTCAATCCCCAGTACCTCTATTAAAATAAATAAAAATCTAATTACCTTCCCCCCAAAATCAGAATTAAAAAAAAGAAGAAAAACCCCCAAATTATGAATCAAGCAAGCAGAGTGTTCTTAAATGTCAGAACTGCTATCTCAATTCTAGGAATATACCCAAAAGAAATAATATAGACCATGGAAAAAGCCACCCATGAAAATATTCTAGACAGCATAACAAAAAGTCAAGAGCAAGCTACATATCCATTAATACAGAGTATATTAGACTGCTATTAGAATATTATTTGATGAAATATAACTTAGCCACTAAAAAGAATAAAGATAATATAGTAACAAAATGAAATATATGTTAAATGGGAAAAATCTATATAATTTTTTATCCTGTAATTAAAAGTCCATAAAAAATATAAAACTCAATATATAGATAGAAAAATGCTTTAAAAGAAGTGATAATGTTTATGTAGCAGTGGTAAGATAATGAGTAGTTTATTTTTCTAAGTTTCTTTTTAATCAAGATGTAGTAACTTACAATGAAAAAGAACATGAAAACAAATATATGTATGTATGACCAAAACATCATGCTGTACACCAAAAACTGATGTCCCTCCTTTTTCTCCCCAAGTATTAGAAA